AAAATCTCGCTCAGCAAAAGTAGAATTGTTACAGTTTCGGTTAAAGTTATACCTTCTCTTACCAACAGTTTTACATTGACCTCAGTTGGTCTCAAAATTGGCTCAATATTGGTCCTATATGAACATTTACCGAGGGACCAATATTGAGATATCTAGATTTTTTAATATTGGTCCCATATAGGCCAATATTGAGTGAATCTGACAACTCCATATAGGGCCGATATTGGTTGAAAATTGCCTGTAAAATATACGGGCGAATCAAACAATTCTATATATCAGTGTTCCCCAACCTTTTTATCACCGCGGACCCATCAACGTTTGATAATTTTACCGCGGCCCGCTGGTGGTGGTGTGTGTGTGGGGAGGGGGGACGTTGACTGTTTATATTTTAGATTATTTCGATTTATTAATTTAAATTTAATTGTATTTAAACGTGCCTTCAAAATAAAATGCTTCTACACCAAAAAATAAAGTGATTTAACATTTTAACTTACTAGAGCTTTAAATCAATGAGAACCCTGAGCTTTTTTTCTTTGCAATGAGACTGTTCCATCCGGGGGTAATCGGATACCATGACTCCCGAAGTGTGTTGCTTACGTCCAGTATATTTTGTTGCTTTGTTTTGGTTGCTGCTACTGCAGAAAACCCAGCTTCGCACAAATAAGTAGTCGGAAATGGCAATAGGGATTCAAGTGCTGTGGTGGCAATCTCGGGGTATTCTGCAATGTCTTTAATCCAGAACACCGGCAGAGTTGTCTCGAACGTAATTTTAAGGCTGCCGTCGTCATTTGCAATCTCCAGCAGTTGATCTTCTTGCACACACATGCTATATTCGCCCGATTTGTTGACAAATGGGACGCACATCCATTCCTTACCAGATATTTTTAATTTGGGGTATAAACCTAGGAATTTAAATTCAGTTTCAATGAAATGGACGGTCCGGTACCATTTGTTCCAAGGATCGGTATCGGTCCGTGGACCGGGGGTCGGGGAACACTGCTATATAGGGCCAATATCGGAAATAACGGCCCTTTGAATTCGTATTGAGCCAAGATTCGTGAATATTGGTCCCTTGGCCAAAGAATACGTGTTCTTTGTTCGTCAAGATTGGTCCAATAAGGGCCAAAGTTATTTTGCTGCTAGGGTCGTTACATATATACTTAACTAAGATTAAATCAAAGTCTGAAAAAAAAATATTTTTTTAAATGTGACACCTAGAGTTTTCTTTCACGAAGATCTTTAAATGTATATTGCCAGTAATAAAAAAATTGTTTTTAATTTGAAAATTCTCTTTCAATGAATGATATTGCAAAAATAGAAAGAAACAAAAATTATCGGGGCAGACATACGGGAGCCAGAAGCCATACAAAAACCCTCGAAAAATTTGATTGGTAAGAAGAAAAAAATTGCAATAAATAAAATGGACGGCGCGGCGGGTTCTTCACACCCCCAGTTATTCCAATTAACCGAGAAAACTACCGACTTTAATGAGGTTGGCCACAAATATACCGACTGCGAGACAGTCATAAAAAGATGGGTCCAACTCTATTGAAAAGAAACTTGGCGGCGTCTTCCAGTCCTTGTCTCATTAGTATCTGCCATACAATGAAAGAAACACCTGAGATTAATAGACAAATTCTTTACACTTTGAAGATGATTCCTGACAGCAGTGGGGGAAGTTTGGTTTTTTTTTTAGAAGCTTAGATTTTTTTCTTCCTTTCTTGTTTTGAAGAAGTGTTTACCAGTGGTTACATTGATAATGCTGTTTCTTTTTTTTTTTACCAAGCGAGAATATAGGGATCATATTCAAAGTACTAAATAAAGATTTAGTTTTGAAGCTTGAGGAAGTAAATCGTTGTATAAAAAAAAAGGGAACTCAAAAGTGAATTTATATTAATATTACTGTATCGGATTGTATAATATTTAAGAATCGAATGTCAAGATTTTCAGTTTTTCAGGAATTTTGTTTATTAAGTTTATTTATTTTTTTTTAAATATTTTCAGTAAATTACATGCTTTAACTTCATTTATAATTTTTCTTCAAACCGTTTATTAGCTAATACACTGTTAGAATTTTCATTCTAAAATTTGGAAAATGGAAAATATGTGTGCTTAATTTGGGAAATGTGTGCTTTTTTAAAGCATGTTTTTATTAGAACTTGATTAGTGCGTGGGTAAACCAAGCACTAATTCAGAACTCCAAAATATTATTCACAAAGAAAAAAAAATATAGCTATGTTTTTAGTTTTATTAATAAAATGAATTTAAAAGTTACGCTTAAGCTCATTAAAAATTTGCATTAATTAGCTCATTTATGGCACAACGTAAGATAATAATCGCATACAATTCTATATTCTGAATTATTTCTGCTAATGTAAATTTAAGTAAATCATAATACTCTAAATTTAGTTGTCTTTTGATGTTCAAAACATAAAAAGAATTTAAACTTATTGATTCATTTTAATAGACAGCATTCGGCATACTTCAAAGCGAGATTAATAATTTCTTTTCAGATTAAAAAACTCATAATATATTTTTTCTTTTACAACTATATATCATCCTAAGCAATTAACCTTAATTAAATCCAAATAAACTGTACAAATCACATCACCATTATCGAACTTTTACAAATACGGTCCCTACCTCACAAAAGAACATAATAACATCATGTTCATCAACCGCAAAAAGCATGTCTATCCGAAAAGGGAGGATGACCCCCGTGACCCCTCCCATTGTGCTCTACCTGATGGAGATCCCCCAATATTTGCCCACACAGGCAGGGGAGCACAAAAGAAGGCAATTTCGGCTCTTTTTTGGGATTTGTAAAAGCATGTTTGTATTCACGGCTCCCCCAGGAGGAAAATGGAGTATCTGTGTATTTGGCGAAACGCACTACATGATGGGGGGAGTATCGATCAATTTCAGCTCTAAAATAATTCACTGGGTGTAAGAAAGACTACCATGACTTCAAAAGAATATTTTCTTTTGCGTTTCTAATTCCATATTTTTTAAAACACATAATAACAACATTTGATCTCATTGTGTGGAGTTTAAATGCTAAAATAATAAATTTAATGATGTGAAATTAAAGCTGTTCCATGATAGCTCTGTAGCCATATGAAATTACGCTTTTTAACCCCTTAACGATTGGTTAATTTTCTGGAAAACGGTCATAAAAAGGCCTATTTTTTTATTCCTGAAAATTATATAAAAATATGTGCATGAATAATATATATACATTTTTATTTTGTTTTTAGCTTGAAATTTTAAAAAAATTAAATTTTTAGGAAAAGTCAGCATGACTTAATATTGGTTTTCCAGCAAGCAAGCAAAATTTAAAAAATATGTGTTTTAAACAATAAAAAATAGTTTTATTAAAATTGCGTGTAATATAAATAAAGATTAGTAATTTTTTCTCTTGTGATAAATTTCAAAGCATGAGATACAAAGGCCAACGTCACAATCTGGACAGTAGTACCGAGTTTCCTTCCTACGTCTAGTTTAAAATAAACTATCTATAATTACCTTGAAAATATCCTGGTACTGCCATCTGACGTGTAAAATGAGAAATACAATGATTTCCTAGCAAAAGAAATGAATTATTTTTTATTCTTATTGGCGCGTTTCTACTGAACACTCCAGCCCGGAAATATCACGAGAGCGAGAAATAGAGGGCGAAACTTCAACCCATCATTTTCACGGGAGCGAGAAGGAAGGGGTAAAGATAAAGCTCTATTTTTATAACTGTTGTGAGCTTGTAACAGTTGCTCATGGCTGTTAGATTAGGTTTTGTCAATCATTTGTCTGCACTGTAAAAAATTCTGGATCAAATTACGATGCACTCTGGATGCATCATCCGTAAAATCCCTTTTCACAGTGAAATATTATATCGTAATTTTTACAGTAACATTTATTTAAATAGAGTGATTCAGTGATTTTACGGTATTTATTACTGTAAAAATTACGGGATATCAGATTCGTTTTGCCCCGTAACATGTTCCGGTAAAAATGGATTTTACAGTAGAAAGTACCGGCATCCTGAGCACTGGTACATTTTATGATTCATTTCACTGAAATAAATAACGCGAGTGGTTCAAAAACAGGCACCATGAGAGCCCAACAGTTGTATAGAAATTCTAATTTTAAATGCAACTATCTAAAAGAATAACGGAAATGAAAACGAAAAAATGACGAAAATTGAAAAGATAAATGTCTGAAAAATTCGTTATAGGAAGATAACCACTTCGACATATGCAGAATATTTTGAATTTTACTTAAAGTTCGATACTAAAATTTTATTATAAGAAGAAATTCGATGTAAGGAAATTACGTTGTACGGAAACTCTACAAATTGTGCTAGTTTATTACTTATTAAGATAATGTGCTATTGCAATCACTATTACCAATAATATACTACTAAAATATGAAAAGAAATATTTTTTCATAAATTTTGGGTATAGTAAACCACCGTTTATCGTACTCGCAGTAGCGGGGTTCAACTGTATATGGTAAGGTAATATAGTTTAAAATTATAACTTTATACTTCAAACTATATATATATATATGTACAAAGCAAACGATGAAAAAATATATGTTTTTAAAGAGATGAAAAATAATTTTTAATAAATACAATAATTTTAAATGTCTTCTCACACTGTTGTATTGATATATTTTGCTTTGCCAACATTAATAGCATATTAGAATGCCCTCTTTTTTTGCTGATATAATCGTGTGAGCTGATGACTAGATTATATCTTTTCCTTATTGTGTTTTTCGGCTTTTTAAATTTTTAAAACTTTTTAAAAATATTATTAAAAACATTTTATTTATTAATCATTTTTCTTCTTCTTTTTAAAAAATATTTTTTTTTCCTTGTTTTCTTTGTATTTTTAACTTATTTTGTGGGTTTTATGTACTGCCAGTTTACGCGCAATCAGTAAAACTTTTATCTCTCTATCTTTCTTTTTTGTCACTTTATCGTGTTGCGTGTGCATATATATATGTATATATATATATGCGATTGTGCGAATAGCCCATTATGCAGCTCTAGTGCGGTGCGNGGGTTTCTTCTGATCTTAACGTGTGATGGAGAAGTGTTCTACACATCGCACACCGTAGAAACTTATTTGGGCTTTCATCAGGTAATTATTGATTGTTAACTACGTGTTACGATAATGACTACCACTTTTATCAGATTACTTTAATATGCGACATACATTAATCACTACTGTTTTATTCTTATGCATCACTTTTTTTGTAATGTTATTAAAATTGATATCTGTAATAGGTTAAGTGTGGTGGCGAAGTGGTTGTGTGGATTCAAGTCTTATTTTTAATCAAGTCGATTTGTAGATTAGTCAATTAGATAAGTAGATTAACAATTATAAGACTTTAAAATATTTCATATATGTCTGTGGAAGTGGTAGCAAATCTATGAAATAGTATCGTAATTTTTCAATGAAATTACTGCGAAAAATATTTGGTTCCTTTAAAGAAAATTATGTTTGCAAATTTTTGGTTATTATTAAATAGGCAATTTTGTTAGGTTAGCCCATTGAACACGGGGGAAAACAATTCTGATAAAAAGCAGTACTGTATGGTAATGACATTTTTCGTTAAAAAAAAAACCTAAAATATATGATATTTAAACCATTCATTTGGTAATTATTTCGTTTATATACTAAAAACTTACCATAAATTCAGGTTTTCGAAATTATAATATACTTATAACTCCTTGGCCCAATGAAGGCAACCGGTTTTCTTCGTGAGCCGATGACACTTGTTTTTATTTTTCCAATATTTGCTTTAACGTTTCATAATTATAACGTTTATACCTTGGTATACGTAGTATGAAAGTTAATCATTACATGAATGAGTAGAAAATTATCAAATTGCCAAATTTGTTGCCATAATCGATTACAGGAAATGAGTGAGCAAAAGATAACAACTTTTCTCTATTATTAAATTGTACTCACATATCTGAAAATCGATTACGTAAGTTATCAAAATGTTCTAATCAAGATGGCGTGTGGATTATAGAGAAATTAGGAACCAATCCGAAGAAAGATCGTAACATTTCACGATGCAGAGAAAAAAGAGCAGACCATGTTGAAAATTTGGATAATGTTGAAAATTTTTCAAATGATATCGGAGTAGCATGCTGGAGAACAACCACTGCTGAGGGACCCATAGCAGATTTTAGAAAGAAAAAAACAGCTTTGGTTAATAACAGGCTGTAGTACTGAAGAAGGAGCAGAAGATATTAGTACTTATTATTTTAATATCATGTTAAGTATCGATGATATTTAAAATTTGTATTCATTCATAAAAATTTCAATTTCAATTTTTTTTTATGATATATTTTTCGCTAAATGACATTAAATGTATACGATTTTTAATATGAATGAACTGTTTCCAGAAAAGTCCTGATCCAATTTATGGGATTATTTTTGCATTATATCAACATATTCTAATTTTTTTGATGGGTGAAACTTTCTATTGTTCTATAATTTACCTATAATGAAAACGTACCATGTATTTTCAGCAACAGAAAATTTAAAAAAAAAAATCGATTTTTTAAGTTTAGAATCCTCATTCAGATTAAACATAGAGAAGGAAAAAAAAACGTATCATTAATTGATAAGATCTTCTAATAGCATATTGAAATTCCGAATTGAAAAAGTTCCATGATAAATAAGCAGCTATGAATCACTTATCTGGCTTTATATAAAATGATTTAACCTGTGAGCATCAGCATGACACGGGGATCATTAATAACTCCCTAAGCAAACGACACGGATTCATAAGACGTCATATTTGCAACATTCGATTGCTCCAATTGCTGTTAGCGCGTCATACCTTCAGCCCCGCCCCTTTCTCGACAGAATAAAAAGGAATGATTTTTTATTCTCTCTTTCCACCCCCATTCACCTAATCATTTCTTCTTTCCGAATGGAGGGTGGGGGGAAGTGGTATTCGCAGAGAACGAGCGAATCCCGGCGCCCTGAAGCGTTCGCCATTCTCACAACCTCGACGCAGAATCATTGCATCATCTGAATAAATGAGGTTTTGCGCCCCGAAGGGTTGCCACAATCTTGTGCTTGGCTTGGTATTCTTATTTAAATGCCATATATTTGCCAAGCAATGAGATAATAGAAATTTAATATATATTTTTTGGTCTCTTTAATATTTTTGAGATTACTTTTATTTCCCATAACATTTTAGAATTAATTTCAAAAATTTGTTTATTTATTTATTATTTCATTTATTTATTTAATTCATTTGTTTTAAAAGTCTGTATGGGCTCAGGCACAAAATATTCAATTTTTCGCACTTAAATAAGTATGCATTTATTATTGAACTTTGAGTGTTTACATCTGAGGTTCTCGGTCCTCAACATATAGTATGCTGCTTAAATAAGACATACATTGCTGTTACATACATTGCTACATACGACCACGTATGCTGTTGAAGTATTTTTTTTTGTGGCAATTTTGATCCCCCCCCCCTTTTCTGTCATCAGGAAAACAAGCAAATCACAACCCTCTATCATTCATACGAAAGAACTCACCCCCCCCCCAACCTTTTTGCATCGACTTTTTCTATGGCAATCTTAAATTCAAATAAAAGATGTCATTTAGCATAAAACAAAATTTACATTTAAATTCGTTTTTTTGTTTATCACATTATTCTCGGTGAATTTTTTAATATTCGTTTTAAGCTCAAAACTGTTAGCCAGCTGTTTTTTTCTAATTTTTTCTTACCGTAAATTCAACAAATTTCCACGTAATTTTGTTTTGCTTTTTAATAAAATTTTGAAAAAAAAGAGGGGATTTTAATGCCTTACGTAAGCATTGCTCATTCATCTCCCCCCCCCCCCNCATTCCCCCCCCCCCCCCCTTGACAGCAGAAATAAGCAAAACCATCCCCTACATCTGAAATATACGTAATATTTGAATAACCCCTTAGAACATTTAACATTTTGGCATGCGTTAGCTAATATATGTAGTTTTCTGTTCGATGACTAGAACCACAAGTAAGGACTTATATTTTGAGGGCATTTGAGCACGAGACTAGACCTCCTCAATTCTGAAGTAATGCGGCATATAGTTAATTTACTGAAATCTGTTTTGATTCTAATTTCTTTTATTTTTTTTCCCTAAAATTTTATTTTTATTAAATTTTATTAACAACCAAAACCATTGTTCCTCTAATTAATAATGTCGTAACGTTTAACTTTGATACACCGTACCTTTTTAAAATACACAAAAAGAGAAGTCCAAAAACAATTTTAGGGCTATTAAAAAAATTAAATAAAAGAATAAAACAAAATTTTGAGTGACGATAACATTTCTACTGGAGGTAAAATTCCGCGAAATATTTAAAAGCGAATGGAATAATATCGAAAATATTGAATTGTATTTGCTATAATAGATCCCATTAATGTCACATTTAAATTTAATTTGATAATTATAAATATGAAATTATGAAAATGATTATTTTTCATTAAAAATTATATCATTCAATTAACATTAATCAAATAAAAAATCATTCAATTAACATTAGTTATTTTTTATACATTTATTCCACCAAAAAAAAAGAAGAAAATAACGTGGTTTCTTTTCGATATGCTTTTCTGTTCGATAAGTTTTAAAGCTCTTATAGAAGCTATAAAAATATGTATAAATGAACTGTACATGAACATTAAATCAAAAAGAGTAATTCACTTATTAATTTTCTCAGAAAACATTAAAATATTTGAATACAAAATTTTTAAACTACAAGGAATATGTTGATTTAATTTTTTACCTATTTGTTCCGAAATACTCTTCGTTTTCTTCTTAAAAGCTTTTTCGCGAAAATAAGCAGAACTATTTGTTAAATTTTTTTCCCTTAAAATATTAGTAAAAGAAAAAAAAGGTGAGCACATAAGAAATAATTTACAAAAGAAACATTCATGAAAGCCTTAATAATAATAAAAAAAGAATTTTTTTTTCTTCATTTACTAGAAATAAAAATCGTCTGATTAAAAACATCAGTTCGTAAAAACATTTTTTTGAACAATCGTTTTCTGTAGAACTGTTTTCACTGCGGAAGCAATTTCGTCGCGGGAAAGTATAAGTGTAGGCGTAAAGCTCGCACTGATTGGTGGTTGGAAAGTTAATGCTCGAATTATTTGGGGATGGGCGGGGACTATTAGCAGTAGGAGAACTTATGGTAATTTACAAATTAACGCAGGTTTTAGGATATAGAATCATAATGTTGCAATTTCCTATGACTGAGAAAATAAAAAAAGTAGGAGCTATTTTTCAAAAGGTCATTCCATTTTTTCCCCCCTTCGAAGATAATCTGCGTTTTGCTGTATAACTTTCTTCCTTCTTTATATTACTGAAAATCCATTTCATTTAATGAAATTTCCTCTTAAATACTATTCTTTAACATATTCATGTCATGCGAGCTATTTATTTCCTTGCATATAGCTGTAATTCTCATTAGCAATGAACAAAATATTTCTAGAAAGTTATTATGTTATATTTTGCAGTAGTAATATCTTCAAGGACTTTTCGTTTAAATTAAGGGTACATATAAAAATTAAATACTAGTAGTCTATTATATTTCATGACTACGTTTTCATTAGCTCACGGCTAAGTTAGTGAAGGGAAATCTTGAAATCAAAATTCTTACCGAATTCCAACTAATTAGAGTACAGTTATTTCAACTGGAATTTTGTGCTGAATAACAAATCAAACTTCAGTTGATTCCAAACCACTACTGCCAAAATTTGTCATTCTCTTATTGCCAAAGGCAACTCGTTGTCAATTGAATTTTGACCTCTTTCTGACTAGCTAAAGTGCTGAAAATTTAACTAGATCTCTGTGCTTGATAGCAATGCATGCTTCAATCGTTTTTTGACTAACAAGAAATTTTTATTGTCATTTTATTATCGATTGAAACTTATATTCATTTGAAATTTTAAACACTTCCTGACTAGCTATAGCGATCAAAATTTAACTAAAGCATTTTGCCAGAAGAAAAAAAGAAAAAGAGAGAAGAAAAAATTCAACAATTTCCTAAGTGAAGCAAGCACGATTTGTATCTAATAAATTCATTCAATTAATTTTTTTTTCCATTTCATGAAATT